GGGGGTTAATGACCCATTTTCAACTTACATTTGTGAAAGTCAAGATCATTGATGTTAAAAGAGCAGATGAAAGTGTGGGAGGCTGATATGAGATGTCTAACCTCTGACCTACTGAATAAGGTACCACTTCATGAGTAAGTCAAATCAGATTGAAGGCACAACAGCCACAAATGTTTGATGCATTTATTTTGCAACACTTCCTTTGCAAATAGAAATTAGAAATCAGCAGGTACAAAAGCTTCTGTCAGATATGTGTAAAAAATCACAATCACATTTAACAAGCAATTAAAAAAAACAACAAAATATAAACAGACAATTCAACAGATTCTTCACTTCTTCATGCAGTTCTATATACCAGTACATGTGGATGTGACTGCAGCTCAGTGCTGAGTCTGGTGGCATTCAGGGGTCCTCTGGACAGTAATGGGAGTACGACTTGAGCCACTTCACAGGACAGTCCCTGAAAACACACACAGTGTGACATACACACACACACACATACACACACTTTATTGGCTATGGGCCAATTTCAAAATCAATTATGGGTAGACATTTGATGTTGTATTAAATTAAAATTAAAATCTGCAAAATCTAAAATTGAATTATTAAAGGACCACTGTGTAGGATTTAGTGGCATCTAGCAGTGAAGTTGACACTGCTAATGTCTGTATTTGACGACCTGGGAATGAGAACGGGCCATGAAGTGTGTATGAGAAACTATGATGGCCCCTATCTAGAGCCAATGTTTGGTTTGTCCGTTCTGGGCTACTGTAACATGGCAGACTGCACGGAAGGTGACCCACAGTATCTGTAGATATAAATGGCTCTAAGGTAACAAAAACATAACAATCCATATTTTTAGGTGACTATATACTAATGAAAACCTACCTATGAATATTATATTCCATTTATGACAACAGATCCTCCTAAATGTTACACACTGGACCTTTAAATGTTTACCTCCCCTCCCCTTCCCTACCTGTTCCCTTTCTTTGTAACTTGGAAATTCATTTTAGTGGCTTTCCTCTTGAAGATTCAACAGTTCCAGGCACAAATATCAGCCCATAAACCGCACTATGCTCCACACTGAGTCCTGAATAGAGAGTAGAGAGCAGGATGTTTGTACCTGTGATACTTCTGTCCTTTCCTCCTCTGGTACTCTGTTTCATCCACCGTCCACACAGCTCCCTTTCCACCCTCCACTCGCACAAAACACTTGTGTAGGCTGAGGTTGTGCCGCACTGCATTCTGGTTAGAACAAGTATATTCTATTATCATAGAAGCAAGGTAAAGTTGGAAACTACATGTTGTTTTTCACGGTATGTTACAATAAAAAAACAATAATATGGTTCCTCTGGCTCCTCCTAGTGCTCCTAATGGTATTTGTAAAAATCCACCGAGCATCGACGAAAACAACTAATCAGAGCTGAGAAAGATGGTGAGTCTCATTCCCGTAAAAGTAGAATTTTATTTAAGAAATATATATATTTAATATTTTATTAATAATGCCTTTATTCGTTTTTATATTTATTTATTTTAAGCAGATATTCGGGTTTGGGTCAGGCCCAATACTGCTTCTGTGGTTAGGAGTCGGTTGGGGCTTGCACAGAATTTTTTCATGGACTGGGTTGGGTCAGGTCATTTTTTGTACGCAATCAAAGCTCTACCAAAGAGTCTCATCATTTATTTGAAAAAAAAAATGAGCGAAAAGGATAGGATTAATACATTTTTTACTCTACAGTACAGCTCCACTTCGGAGGTCACTGAAGTCACAGCAGCAGTGTTATTTTCCATCAGCTTTAAATTCACCAAACCCGGACATCTTCAAATTGTTTATGCAAGTGAATAAACTTAATTTAACATAGTGTGAAAGATTTTTGTCATTACCCCAGTGTCAGCACCAAAGGGGGTATAGCTAGCATTATATTTTACATAGAAAATTTAGTAAGTGACACTAAGGCTCATACAGAGTAATGCATATCATTTCAGCAGTTTCAGCAGAATAGTTCAGACCTTCCAGGTTGCAGTGTTGTGTCTGAAGTAGAAGAACATGGTAGTGAACCAGTTGTAAATCTCATTCAGAGTGCGCTGTTTGTCTGGAGACTCCAGGATGGACTGCAAATAGTCAGACACAGACAAACACAGTGACAAGTTGTGACAAAAACATCAAGTCCTCCGATATACTGACAGATCAGCCACCACTGCAATAGTCTGAAGCCAAATGTCCACCCTTTGGACTTTGCAGACTGAGCCTGTTATATTTTTGTTTTATAATTCTGGCCTACACGATTCAAGTAACATTACAAAAAAGTAATTGTTTCACACATTCTTCATAATAAGTTCTTTTCTATTAATCATAGGAACCTCATCTCCCTGTTCTTTATTTAGTATACTTTTTTCCACACGTACGGTCTAACCTTCTTTTTGTGGGAGATATAACGGGCAAGACGAGCCTTCAGCCATGGTGACAGGTTTAGGATTTTGGAATAACTAGAAAGATGTGGGCTCCCCCTTGTCCAAATGTTTTAATAAATCTGAGATACATTTATTTTGGTGAATTTCGATTTTCATAATAATCATGAATATCCTCACATGGCTTGACTTGCAAAAGCTGTCTAGCTCTCCAGCATACAAACCTATATTGATTTCTTGTTTTTTAATCACGATACGTGATAATATGGTATATGGTCCCATCCCTACTTGTAGGTAATCAAATCAGTGAAGTCTGGTGACGTTTGCACCCCGAGCAGACTCTGTGTGTCTGCAGAAAGTCCACTTGAGGCCTCTTGTGGACCGGATAAATTGTGGGTTTGGACAGCAGTTGTAGATTTCCCTGGAACGCGCATGCAAGGTCAATGAGTTTGCAAGAGCGGTGAAGTAGGGACATTTGGATTCAGCCTTTGAAGCAGACAAACCAGACTACATTAAATCCAGTTATTTTCAACTGAGGTATCTCTCTGGTTTGTGCCATAATGGCTGACTTTGTGTCAAATTATTTCCCTCACTCTAAACCTGGACATTCTGCGTGTGTGATTGGTGTGATGTTGTCTAAAACAGAAACACACACACACACACTAGGCCAGTGGTTCCCAACCTGGGGGTCGCCAAAGCTTCAAGGGGGTTTTGAGGCCTTCTTGATTTTAAGGGGTGTAAGAAAACTTTAAAAAATATACACAGTAAGCCTATATCAGCATTTTGTTCATTCCTATGAAGAAAACTAAATGAAATTGTTATTTTATTTATTATTGAGATATAAGAACAACCAAAGAGCTAATAGAACAATGAGAAAATGCTGAATTTTTCAAAAAATAAAAAGTAAGCCTATTAAATATGTATGATTGTTGAAAATTTTAAAAAATACATAATACAGACAGAATTGTATAGACATATCAGAAAAGCTGATCTCTGATCAATATTCACAGGAAATTATCTGCTTAAATTTCATCCAAATCTTTCATTTTACACAAACTTCCAGCTGTTATTTCATTCACTGTTTGGGTTCATTGTACAGTTTATCTGTTGTTCTCTACTCTAATTGTTCTGCATTAATATGATGTGAAATATCCATAAAATGTGTCACTTAGTCAGTTTACTCACACAGAAAAGAGGTCCCTTAAGTTAAAAAGTTGGGAACCAGTGCTCTAGGCCTACAGCTGAATGCTGTAAGATTTAATTAGCCACTTCTTTGTATTAAATAGGTTACATAACTGTCACATTACTACTGTTTTAGATGTTTTAACAAATGCTCAAAATAAAGCAATACTCATTTATTGTAAAGTTGAAGTTTGTCCTTTAATCCACATATGGATTGACCTAATCTAATTTAACAGCCCTTCTTTGCCAGTCATGTAAAAAAGTACTCTCTGGTAAACTCAGTCATTGTCAAAGCACATAGTCTTTGAGCAATAATTGAACATCTTATATCACACTTGTTTGAAAGAAACTCACCCATCTTATCAAGTAGGCGTAGGTGTATGGAGGTCTGATGTTGTTGTATTTGTAGCATTCAATACTGGGGACCAGATCTGTACAACAACAATGGTGATATGTCATCAATTCATGTCGTCAAACACACGTGATTAGGAATATGTGGTTGGTCAGATCTTTTGAGCTACCTATCTATAAATACCACAACAATTCTGAAGCACAGAAGAGATTTTGAGGGCATGTAAGCAGAGAATGGCGGTGACGAACAATAAATATATATCTTTACAATGTTGAATGAAATTAAAATTTGTGTAAAAATTACATTAGAGCCAGTCCATTCCATTTTAAAGATTGACATTAGATTATTATAAAACTGATTACATTACTGCACAAATCCCGGCTTTCATAAAACAGTCCTTAAAGCTGCAGTAGGTAACTTTTGTAAAAATAACTTTTTGTCATTATTGTTGAACTTTTTTAACGATATCTTGACAGTAGAACATGAGACCATGTTCCTCTGGATTGTTCTAGCACTGATATTGGTATCTGCAAGAATCCAATAGACCTGGATGAAAACAACCAATCTGAGCCGAGAAAGCTATAAAGAAGTCTTGCGATTTAAGCTTGACGAAACTTGGTTGAGTCTCATTCCCTGGGTCCTAAAGCGTGTGTATTTTACGCCCTGGGAATGAGATTCAGGAATAAACTATCTTTCTCGGGTCTATCTACACAACTGCTCCCTCTCAGCTTTAAGAGTTTGTATACCTTTACATACAATCTCCACCTGGCTAATCTAGTAATATCATGTTCTTATTGATTTTGTTCTTGCTCTACTATACTAAAAACTTCCGTATAAACTGTGTTACCTGGCAGAAGGTGGGCAGAGCCAGCAGCTCTGTATCCATGCTGGGACAACTCCTCCAGGTGTTTAATACCCCACTGTTGCACTCCATCTCCATCTGTTACTGGAGGCTGGGGCAGGAACAGGGGGAGGCTGTACGGCCACTCAGAAGCTGCCTTCTGCATGCAGTGAAGAAAGCGGATATGAACAGTACCATTGAATTCTTCAAGTGACACTAAGAAAATCTTTGAATCAAGCAAACTGAGTTGAAAGAGACAGTGAAAGCCAACCAACATACCAAGTCAGTGTACTTGTGTTCAGAGAGGTGCAGATGAAGCTGCATCGCAATGAGTTTCTGTTTTTCCAGGATGAGCTGCAGATTGAATTTAACAAATTTGATCAAACTGTACTTCAATAAGTGATTTCATGTCTCAAGACTTGCAGAAAGTTTCTTAGTCATTAAAGTTAAAGTAAAAATTGTGCTAGCGTCAGATCAACAATGCATTATTATGCATTATTATTATTAGTATAGAGTTGATCTCTGCATGGCCATACTGTTGGATGCATGAATTGTTTTCCGGATTATAATAATAATAATAATACATTTTATTTAAAAAGTGCTTTTCTGAATACTCAA